ATGTGTTTGAAATGTAATAGTTTTGACATAAACTTGGTTTACCTTTTCCTGTGCTTAAGAATTTTGCATTCTATGTCTTGCTCCTTCTCAATTTTTTTTCTCCTCCTTCGTTTTTCTTTATTTCCTGTATTTTTGCTGAAAGAACTTCAGCATCTCTCTAGTCCTTTGAAGAGTAAGAGAATATAAAATTAGGGACGTATTGTATGCCATTCAAAAAAAGGTTAAGAAAACTGGTTTTGTATGTTGATTTCTATAATCATTTTGTTTATTGATCTTCAAGAAAGAGAGATCAAAGTAAAGCTATGCAGTTAATCTGAGGTCATTTCTGCAGTTTATACACTGCATAGCTCCTTTTGGAAATCTCAATTCTACCCTCTTGGTTTATGGCCATTCAGAATTTGGTTTAGCAGAAAGGTTGAACTTCACAGTGATTATTTATGGAACAATAACAAGTCAGATGAAATAGGATTACCTCTTTGGAAAAGTACTGCACTGTTATTCTGTTTTACAGCTCACACTAAGTTTCATCGATATGGCTTAATATGGGGCTGATAATAATGCAAAATAGCTTCTGTAAAATTTTTTACAGCTCATGAATCTTTATTCTGAAACAGTTTTAAAGAAGTTGTCAGTGGGGTTTTTCAAAACCCATCTTGCACAACTCACTTTTTCATAAAAAAAAAAATCTTTTCCACTGACTATCTTTATTTCTGTAGTTAATCTGAAGGACTTGAAACACATAGTTTATGATTCATGAAATTGATATGCACCTTAGGTCTACTGGAATAGGTGCTGTCGAAATAGTACTTCTCTAAGAAGAGAATTTCTCATTTCCATATTGATAGATCCTGTCCAGAAGAACACAACCATTACTCAGTGTCTTTTTTTCCTTTGGGTCATCAAGTTATGATAGGTGATATTTGAATACTCATGTGATTAAAAAATTATCTATGACTATGATTTTCTTAGCCATTGAAAAGAGTTTTACTCTGATTATCCTTTAATACTGAAAGTGAAAGATTGATTTTCCATTTTTGTTGTTGTAGAAAAATTGCTCTTAGCAGCAGTAATTCATTCTATTAATGTTTTCTATTTCATTTGGAAGGAGAGCAACTACTATTTTCCAAAATATTTTTCTGAGTGCATTCTTTCATGCCTACAACATGAAGAAACAGGCATAATGCATGTTCATGCACCATACTTAAGAGATGCTGTCAATACCCATTTTATGAGTTTTTTTTTAGAGGAAGATTAATGAAGCGTTTACTGGCATGAGGAAAGTGGAGGGATATTTAGGCTGTTGGCAAATTGCCTGTGCTGTATTCAGATAGATTCTTAGGTTGGGAAATTTTAGGTTTTCAGTTCTCATAAAGCACTATGTTTTGCTTTTGGTTGAGTCATGCTGGTCTTTCCTAAATCAAATAAGATTTCCAGTTTCTAGAGGTTTTTAGCATTTTTTTTTTTTTTATTGCTTTCATTACATCTACTTTTAAGACAAAAAGCAGTGGTAGAACTTACAATATAACCTACCTTCATTAGTGTCATGGCATCTAGCTTGATGATTTTAATGTGGTCTGGTGGTCTGGACTGGCTAGAGAAAATGTGGCAGAGAAGAGGACATAAGTAAGTAACAGTGATGGTAATGCGGAATTTTTATTTATTCATCTTGTGATGGAGGCTGATCGGGATTTGCTCACTCTTCCTCTTGCAAATCTTGCTTTGGAGTCTCATCTTGGGTGTTTTTGATGGTAATCTGAAACTGAATACAAGTAGAGGTGGCATTTGCTTTTTATCCCTTTTTCTCCAATTAGAAAATGTAAGATTTTTAAAATCAAGTGTTTAGCAGAGGCTCAGAAATTCATATCTAATTCCCAAAATATCTGTTTTTAAAATGTTTAGTGTCTAATTGCCTTACTGCTGGTTGTTAATTTGAAAAAGTATCATTTTAGAGTTCTTCTTGACTGAAATTGTTACTGAAAATTACTGAAAAATAATGCTAGGGGAATCTGAACAGTAAGTATTCTTTCTGGGTTATGTTTTCCATTTTAGCAAAAACTGCTATAATTTACTGCAATTAATTTCTAAGTGTTCTTCCTGGCATAATAATGTTTGATTTCTTTGATGTGGTTTCTGCTAATGAAGGGATGTAGGCAGGAGGAAAACTGCACTTCAGACTTGAGCTTACCTGTTTGGAAGAAATGTAGGGTAATAGTGATAATATTTCATTCTTACATCTCAGAAAAAGAAAAATGAGTTTACACCTTGGTCTGATCACATCAGCAACCATCTACTGTCATATTGTCGCCTCACACCACCCCAGTACCTGCATGTTCACTGAACAATGCCCCTGCACGATTGATTCCCTCCTGATTGATCAAGGCTTGAAACTTAGTGTGGTCATTCTGATTACTTTTGAAGTATTCTTTTTCACAGTTGAAGGGTTTATTTCTTTAATTATGGTTTGTTTAGGGTTTTTTTGTGAGTTACAGTTAACTCTTAAAATAACTCTCCTCTTTAAAAATGCTTATCTTTCTTGGAAACAAACAAGAATCCTTGATAGTCTCAGAATGTACATGTTACGTAACTGTTGTTTGTATAAACCTTCAGTATGATGACTGTTAGCTCATACCTGACCATTGGGTGAGGGTGGCAGTCCCAAGGCTGACCAGGTTCTCCACTGTGTGAACTGCCTGTTTGACAACTTGTTTCTTACTGTTAAGCCAACAGATCTAACATTATCTCCAAAGGTTAGATATACTGATAGGACTCCAAACATGTTCTTCGTAAACATCTAGCTCAGTAGGGGCCTTGAGAGCATCCTCACTCCTGTCCAGAGCTCAGGATCAACATGCAATAATGCAAGTGAGGGTTGTTCCTTCCAGCCATCAGCTGAAGGCTTCATTCCTATGGGGCGAAGGTCTCAGGCAGGGCTGAAACCTGTCCCACAGGTGCTGCTGTCAGCAAAGCTTCTCTCCACAGTCCCACCTGAGCCCCAGCTCCTGCTATGTCACAGCCCGGCTGTGCCTGGCCACGTGTCCTGTTCATCTGGTCATGAACCCTGACCCTCAGCTCACTTTTGGACTGATCCCAGCTCTGCCTTGTCACTATGAACCTGCCCACCAGTTGTGGGGCTCTGTTTGATGCCGGTTCCCCTCACTGACCTTCATCCTGACTCCGAGCCACAGGCTGACTTCCCAGCTTGAGCTAAGACCCGCTTTATCACCAAAGACTTGGCTGTTCTAAACTTGGAGCTGTCCCCCAGCCAGCTCTGCCCACTTGCTGAGGGCACTGGGGTGGATGCTTGCAGGTCCCCATGGCTGCTCAGCCCCAGGGAGCAGTCAGCTATCACTACACACTGTCACTCTGGCTGCTCAATAACTGCTGAGGAAGAATAAGAGAGTGGTAACACCATTGAGCAAAAATCGGTGGGAGGATATGGCTTTAGAGAACAGTAATGCCTTTCCTAGCCAGGGAACAAGGAGTCCCTTTGCCTGCTCTGGAAACAATTGTGTAATAACTGCAGCAGCCTCAGTAGGGTGCTTGCTCATCTTTCACTCTTCTCCCAAGAAGTGTCTACCTTGAGGCAGTTCCTTCCTATCTTTTAGTTATGTTGTCATTTCCCTGGTGGTCTTCCCGGAGAATTTTGAAAGCATGCTTTTGCCAAGTAGCTCCTCATGTCTGATAAATGGTTATCCCACAAGAGGCACTGAAGCTCCATCTGAGCTGAGCTAAGTCAGTAACTGTGCTTGGCTAATCTGCTGACCAGTTGCCCAATATAGAAAGATATTTTAATCAACAGGCAGACTAACAGCCATATTCCTCCCTCTGATTTTCAATCATACACAAACAAACCTCACCAGAGGGAGGAATAAGTTAATACACTTATTCACTGTGTAGGATGTGAAGAAGGAAGCGAGCTGGCCAAGGATCCAAGCCATGGGAGGTGAAATTAGCCATGCCATGAGTCCAGTCCTGTAGTAGAGACTCATCTTTCTCTCCACCATCCTGGGAACTCTGGTTGCTATGCAGTCAGTTAGCCTTTCCAACAACCACAGTCAACACATACACTGTGTAGCCAGGCCTCCCAATCCCCCTGCAAGCAGAGTCAGCTCTTTTAGAGGTGGCTTCTTGCTCCGCCTCCAAGTTAATGTGGAAGGTGGGGGCAGCTGGTGGTGATCTAATCAGTTCCAGCCAAGGCTGGCCATACCCTGGGTGAAGACAAATCAGCAGGGTCTTTCTTGGCTGGCTGTGGGCATCATCCATAAGCCCACCCTTGTTCTTGGCTGGGGGTTTAAGCCCCTTCACTTCAGCTAAGAAGTATGGCATTGATGTAAGTCACTCTCCTCTCCTGGGGGAAGTCAGAGGATATAAATAAAGTAGAATGTGGTAAAGTTTCTAGATTTTTCAATTAATTCCATTTGGAAATAAGATATATCATTAAGATAACAAACAAGTGTGCTCAAGCACTAATTTCTGTAGCTGGGTGTGTCTAAAATGATTTTATATTCTGTGGTATTTCAGACTACCACCAAAGACCTAGAAAATAACAAGACATTTGCATCAAGTAGAAAAATCAGTTCTTTTTCATGTACACTGAGGAGAAAAATGTGTGTTTAATCTAGCAATGTTATTTTCTATACTAAAATGAAGTTTTCTTCTCTGAATTTTACTAAAGGATTGATTGTTAAAAACAGGATGCTAGGTTTTTCCAGAGCTTAGGTACAAATTTGTGTAATGCTCTATTTACATACCTGCTATCATTTTGTAGGCTTAATATTCTGATAGAAATTTGCTATGTGGTGTATTTCAGTAAGTTATTGTTTAGCAAATTTTTTAATCTCTGGTTTATAAACATTTAGATTTAAAACTTCCTGGCATGCTTTTGATTGAGCAGTCTGAATTTAATGCTTCTTTAGCAGCATTTCTATGGCAACGTATCTTATAGTAACCACGTCTTACATATTTGCAGAGACTGAAACCCCTTCCTTTTCTTTCCATAGGATAAGAAGTGGGTTCTCAATCACGAAGATGTCACACTGGGAGAATTACTGGGCAAAGTAAGTAATCAAGTGATCTAAATAACACTTAAATAAGTTATATTAATCATTAAATCTATATTCACATATAAGCCTATATATATATTAATCATTAAGCCTACATTTGCCTTATCTTTTAAATTACTGTTGTCTGCAATTTTTATATCAATCCTTTTACTTTAATACACCCGACAACATTGTCCTTCAGATAAATGTAAATCACATTTACTGGTAAATTCTATAATGCTGAAAGTTTTTGACTAGCATACATATTTTTCTCTTTTGGAAGGCTTTTAAGCTAACTAGATTTCTATAAAGCATGATGTTTCTCTTTTACTTCATGTAGTCTTACAAAAAATGTTCTTGTGAAATATAAATGACGAGATTTATGTTAATGTGTTTATACTATTTATGTATTTATGATTAAAATTTTATATAATGAGATGATTAAACCACTCTTTGTTAAAACAACTTTTCATTGCTTTTGTGCTATTTATGCGATTTATTGAATGTTAGGTAACTTCACAATATGTAAAATCCTTCTGTAATGCAGTTTATATCACAAATCCTGCTTCGGAGCTTTAAGTCTTTAAAAACCCTGTACCTCACTTAGATTTTTAGCACCTTTTCATCTACAAAGATATTTAAGACCTCCTTAAATGAGAAGGAGAGAAATGAAAGCAATAGTTGCCTTCTTATTATGGTACCTGCTAAAAGAATTGATAAACAGTTCAAGAAATTGGGGAATTAAATATTGTCAGAAAATTTTCTTACCCTGGATAAAATCCCTTTGGGGAAGTAAGATGACATAAAGAGTTACCTACTGGTAGACAGTGCTATGTCTTGATAAAATGTAGGTACTATGACAGCTTCACATTCTTGAATAGGATCAAGGGAGAAAAATAAAGATGTTTCGGGCATTTAAAAAGCGTAGTCTTGCTAAAAAAAAAAAAAAATCAATTATTCCTGATGAGTGAAGGCAGTTAAAGCAATTGATTAATTTAGTAAGCGGAATTTACATGTACATTGCATGTTTTGGGCACAACACATTTTTAACATTCCATAAACGTTAAACATTCAGTGCTTAACAGTTATTATAGAAGGATGTATTAGCAGGAGTAAGACTTTCTCAGAACACAGTATATATCCATTATACATCCATCTCTGAAAAGATACAAACTAGAAAAGATAAGAAAGTCGGCACCATCACTGTCCATTTGACAGAATTTTAAATGAACTATAGCCATTACAAATGCAAGTGAGAAATCTGAGGGTCTATAAAATCTTGAGTGTCCTGGAAAAGATGAGGAGGAAAATCCTTTATGCCTAAGAGGATGCAAACTTTAGAAAAGGTGATTTTCCTTCACCTCAGGAGCTGATGATCTGTTTGTTTATTCAGTATTAATTCTAGACTACCGCACAAAATGAAAGTCAAATGAAAGGAATATATTAAAAATCATATATGTAGTAATAACTGAATTTTTTAAATAAATAAAAAACACATTTTCAGTACTTAAGTGATCCCCAAGGTGGGTACAGCTTTCACTGCCAAATACCAGAAGGCTAGCGGAAAAGAATGTTGGGAGTGATTCAGCTTCTTACCTTTGGACATCTCATGCCCTTTTGGATATCAGAGGTATTGTCCTGTCCTCTAGAGGTGCTATTTTAGAAGGGCAGATTGCTGTCATAGATGCTATTCCGTGCTTGCCACCTTAATCCTCATCCTAGGTTATATAAAATAATGCTGGAAACCTGTGTGTTTCTTCCCTTGTTAGTAGCAGCACAGTAGTATTTTCCATCTCTGTGCTTCTTTTTTTCCTCTTGTGTCTTCTTCCTTTGGCAATACCGTATTCAAATAAATAATGTAATGAGATCTTCACCACTCAGGGAGAAAAGGAAAGCATTTCCATTGAGTTTTGCTGGTTTTTGAAGTCATGTGCAGCCCCAGATACCAGGACACAGAAGAAAAATTCATGTGGTAATTTATCAGACATAGATTTAAAATTCAGTTGTATTTATTCTTCGGGAAATATAAAATTCAATCAAAAGTGTGAGGTCTTCAGGTTTGTTTGGTTTGTTTGAGTGTTTTTGGTTTTTTTATTCTCTTGCATTTCTTTCATTGATACCAGTGCTTTGTTACATACTCTACCATTTCCTTCTTCCTTGCATTTGTGTCGTAATTACTTTTCCTTTTGTTTTTATTGAAGTAAAAAATACACCTTATGGAGATTATCAATGGTATTTATTATTCCATTTTCTTCTATAAAAGCTGAAAAACTAAACAACTAACCCTGGAAGTGTGTTGTTGAAGACCTAAAAATTCTGATTATGAAAGGAGCTACTTCCTGAAGTCTTGTCCTAACGTGAGGCCTTACATACTTGCCTTTATAGAGCAGTGCTGAGTGTGCCTTTTAGAAAAGTTATCGTTCAAATGATTTTTTCAGGACAGACATGACAATACATTTTTTTCAGTGGTTTTAATTTATGATCAAAATCAATATTCAGTGGCTTCATTTTTCTCATTTTGCATTTTTTCTTTCTTGTATATATGAGAACGTTTGTTATTTTGATGTGATTTGTTCTCATTTCACAGATCACCTTTTGGTCTCTTACAGACTGCAAGTGGAAAAGCATTGATAAAATACAATAATGTGAAAATGAAACTGTGCAGGAGAAAAAAGTACAATTATCAGTGTCTGTTGATTTCAGAAGTTACTAAGAGGTTTTATGAAAAAATTGGAATTACATGATTGCTGAATTTTTTTTTTCTGTCCAGCAAGGTCAAAGTAGAACTTATAAACTGTGTCCATTTAAGAGGTGTACTATGTCTGTGAGCTGCATAATGTTAAGAGCAGATACTGGTATAAAACCTCATTTGGCTTCATAAGCACATTTCAAAGTTCCGTATAAGTTACATGAGTCATCTGCATTATTTTTCTGGAGATTTGTGAAGTTATTGTTTACTTAGAATGAATCTTTTTCTTCCTGATTTCAGGGTAATTTTGGTGAAGTGTATAAGGGAACATTAAAGGATAAAACTCCTGTTGCTGTAAAAACTTGTAAAGAAGATCTTCCTCAGGAATTGAAAATAAAATTTCTGTCAGAAGCCAGGTAGGTTCTCTAAATTTAATTGAAATACATACTCATGTTTTTTTTTTTTTTTTTTCAAGTTAGATTACTAGGTGGGTTTACAAAATCTGACCTTCAGAAAATTCAAAGGAGCGATATTCAAACTTTTCCTTCTTTTCTCTTCCTCAGTACATTTCACAACTGTTGCCCTGATAATTAAACAGAGGCATTTTTAACATGTGAATGCAGAGGCATCTGCATTTGCTGAAACTACCTTTTTGGTAAAGCAAGCTATGCCTGTAAAACACAGTTTTGTTGTTTTAGGTGCTTCCATTCAGAACTTCTTCTGAGGATTGGGGTAAAAAGACTGGAAGATGCTGTTAATTTAAATGTGATTATAGCAGTCATAAGTCCCACCTTACACACATGACTGATAGAGCTGATCAAATGTGGCCAGGTTACCATATAGACACCATTTACTATTTTTCTCTTTGTTAAAACAGTTCATTCCAGTTGATATATTTTATACTGTATAAGGCAGCATGGGCTTGCATATTTATCTTTCAAATGACAGTCAAGCCACAATATACTAAGTGTTCTGAATATAAACTGTCATAGGTGCATAGGTTGTAAAACCTCAGGGTGGAGGAGTGCATTGAGACAATTTCACAATTGTTTAAATTGACTTACTCACTCTTGCAATGAAACTTTGTATGTTTTCATTTTTACTCCCAAGCTGGTATGATCAATATGGAAAACTAGAAGATAATATCTGCATTTAAAGAATGAAAATCAGCCACTGTTATCTGTTGATAACAGCTTGTAACTGGGCAACTGCAGAGATGTATTTGTTCAGCAGCCTGCCACTAATGGAGCAATGTTAGTGTGAAAAAAAATATTGGGTGTGTTATTCCATACTAAATGTGTATGTAGCAGATCAGTTAGTATTTTATCTTGATCCTAGAAAAAAAGGGAGAAGGAGGAGATGCTTTAAGTCATCAGATAGTAGACAAAATATGTAAGTTAAAACGTCCCTGTAGAATTCTTCCTTGCCCTTCATTTCACCTATAAATCACAGCATGCTGTTATAGGCTGCAAAAGTTTTTATTAAACTATTGTGTAAGAAGATGTAAATGTATGTATTTAATTCCCCAAATCAAAACTGCTGTCCTTACATTATTCTAAAATTTGTTGTATCAATTAATCTCCTAAAGTAAAATTGCAGTGAGAATGCTTTTGAAAAGTGCAGCAGGGAGGTGTAGAGGCAAGCTGTGCAGGCTGTTTTGATGTAGCTTTGCTTCTGGTCCACCTCTGAAATGCTGTTTAATTACAAGGGTTCCTGAGAAACTGCAAACCTGTCAAGCTAGTTTTCAGCTCTGTAGATAAATGTTATGTAGACAAATGGTAAAATAAGTATAAGAAAGTGTTCCATCTTGATTTATTAGTGAATCTATATGCCTTCTGTTTCAAGCAGAATGATGATTGATCAGTTACACTTGATTTTTTTTCTTTATAATAATAGTAATGTCATGTTCCATTAAAATAAGATTAAAGTTTTAAGATATATATTTAATCAGTTTATATAATAAAGTTTATTAATATAATAAACTTATTGTGTGTTTTGCAGAATACTCAAACAGTATGATCATCCTAATATTGTGAAACTTATAGGAGTTTGCACACAGCGACAACCTATTTATATTGTTATGGAACTTGTGCCAGGTAATTTGTTTGCCTTTTTTTTGCAGCTTATTTTCATAGATATTATTTCCATAATGTAAAATGTATTGGATTTTATTTGTCTTTATCTGCATTCTTATAAATGATCTCAAAAATCACCTATGTTACAAATCTTTGGAAATACTAGGGTCTTTTAGCTTCAAAGTGGTGTGAGCTCCACAAATGTGTTATGAGCTTTTCTGTAGTCATTCAAGACAACAGAATTTGTTGAAAGGTATCTCAGCTCTATGCTCATTTTCCTTCTGACAAGATATTATATGGTACTTCCTTTAACAATAAACTTACATAGTGAGTGTTTGTATTTGACGAAAGTTGATGGATGGATAATACCTCAGACTTTGATCATCTCTGGTAATATAAGGTTTTTTTCTTTGCCCAGATATATTGCTCAGTTTGTGGGTTGCTCTTGATGTAATTTTGGAATCTAGAGTTCACTTTACTTGTTACCCAATTTCAAATTGTTGGGATTGAACAGCTTTTAGGCAATTTTACCTCTTTGTTGTTTTTCTCAGCAGCTGGAACATGTGTGGGTTTGGTAGACCCTAGGACTGCTTAATATGCGGTATTTGCTTTATTTTATATACTGATGCATTTGTTTTATTTGTCTTCAACATTATACAGCAAACTGTTTTAAGAACCATCTCATTCATGAAGACTTTGGTTATTTCTAATTCTTGAGCACTGGCTTAAGTACAAGAGCACTGATGAAACCTTTGACGTATTAGAATTTTCTGCTTCTATTCAATTACATTAGATTATTATGTTTGTATTTGTGATTAACTTTATTAAAGTGGAGAATAAAAGTGGTGTCCTGGGCTTTAAGACATACTTTGGTAATCAGCTTCTCCAGTCATCTCTGAAGATAAAAATAAATCCTTTTCTTTTAACACTTTTATCATTCAGCTTCAGTGTTTTCATAGCCTAGACCAAGCCGTTGAAATGTACTAATACAATTCCAGGAGGAATTAGTGAGAATCTTTCTCTGATTCCCATGTCTGGTTTGCAGTCCAATTCTATCAAAAAATTCTTTGTTTCCTGGCTTTTAATTTGCAAGAAACTTCTTAATTCTTAACCCCTTTTGTTGGTCTGTAAGTCCTTTGTGTATCTTTCATACTTGCTTGCCCTCATAAGCACTGTGTTATGTTCAAGCCATCGAACTTTTCAAAAGTCCTTTACACCTTGGTTAGCACACCATGAGACTGCCCAAAACACTAGAAACTACAATGATGCCAACTCTGAAGATGCTGGCAGAGGAAAGACAGAACACTTACTTAGATCAGAGAAGCAGGAGGTCTGATGTTACAGATTTTCTGTTTTCTAGTGGCAAGTTTGGATAAGATTACCTAAAATAATAATTATTAGTGCTCTGATTTGTTATTTAGTGCTGCCCTTAGAAGAATAGAATAGAGGTAGGCTTGTGGACTTGCATTCAACACTTAAATTTCAGTGTCTTCTTTGTGTTTGTCTTAAATGTGTTTACAATTGAAGGTGATTAAGCAGTTTAATTCTGACATGCTTTTTAATAACTAAAAATTACATGTAGCTTAGAATTGTATTCTGTAAATTTGTGGCTGAAAAGGCAGGTAATTAATAAACGTCTGACAGTTTTTCCCCTGAGGGAAAAATTAAAAGCCTCTCCATTACATGTGGAATTTCTCCTGCATATTCTGAGTTTTGTTTAACATTTGCACTTTTTATACTGTTTTTATATACGAAATACGTGTATGCTATGTACTTATGTCTTTTGAGACTCCTGTGGTGTGGCTCGGTAAGGGCTAATTCTGTTTTTCATTCCAGACTCAGATTTCAATTCAGATTCTTAATTTGTTGAGGTATTAAATGTTTAGTTTGAAACTTAGCACTGTACACAGAGAAGTGCTTCTCTGTTAGTGATTCTATCGTAAACTGTCTCTGCACAAATCTTCCTTTGTTGAAAATGTAAATGGGATTAAAAACTATGCATCTGGATAAAGTCATCAGTAAAAACAATGGAGAAGGTGACATATGCATATTTAAGCCTCTGTGCATCCATTGTTACATGCAAAAATAGCTCAGATGTTGCCAACAGAGAACAGAAAAATAAGGCAAGTTTTCAAAGACAATTATCCTTTGTAGGTGCATCCATTTTCTTGGTGTGTGTGTTAATATAACAAGTGATATATGTCTTAAAGTGAATCACGCTGATAAATTTTAAGGTGGGTGATATAGCAAGGATTAACTGAAATAATAAATAATGTAGCAGAGGATGTTGTCAATGCGTAGCCGAAGTGAAAAGGTAGATGAGACTTAGTATTCACTTATCTGCTCTTGGTCATACTGATCTCATTTGTCTATGTCCATCCAGTGTCAAGCCATCATAGATTACTCCAGTACAGAAAAACTTGATTATCTTTTTTTGCAATCCACCACCCCTCAAGAAGTGAAGGAAGTATCTCAATGTAATGCTTGTGTGTGTTATGGAAATTCTCTTTAGGGGTTGCATATATGGAAAATTACATCCTATCTCTCTGCCATTGGCTGGGTTGTTAGGGGCCAGTTCTCTCCTCTCTCCTTTCTCCTCTCTTCTCTCTGCCCTCCTCTTCCCTGCCCAGAAGGGGAGGAATATCCTGTAAGCAGAGTGTGGCATCTTTTTCTAGAGTTGGTTTGGATCAGGTTACTTTACTCCTTCTAGTTTGTCAGACCACATCTAATGAAAAAGAGAACTTCAAACCCAGAAAGGAGAAGGCCTGAAAACACAGAACTTGGGGGTTTTTGGTACGGTCACACTATTTTTATGTTGGTACCACTGATGATTACACAGACTTAGGATCCTTTATCCACTAGACTGAAAACACAGGAGTAAGAGTTTTAATGGTTTTTATCAATTAAGTTGCACGTGACTCTCGTAACAAGTTAAGAGACTCCAGTAAACTGGTAGAAGACAATTTCTTCTGAGGACTCAGAAATCATAACAAATATTTTTTAAAAAAGTGTTTTTTACGTATGTTTAGTAAAATATGCACAATGACCATTGCAGTATAAGCTTTTTTTTACATTTTAAAGAATGTATATCCAGCAACCTGCATTTTAATAGAGGAAAAATGCTACTGGAATATTTTTTTAAAGGGCTGAGTTCCCCTGTTATCCAGGTAAACGACTGACACTGTTGCCCAAGTAAAGACGTATAATAAATAGTTTATCTGAATACAAGAGCATATTCTGCCAAATGTTTTTATTCTTTGTGGCACACATACCACAAATAAAAATCTCGATAAGTTGTGGTGCCTATCAACTAGTAAGAAACCCCCAATTAGTATTTCAAAGAGCATTATTTGGGAGGTATGTGCTTCTATGTTGTGTAGGACAATATTTATTTGTTATATAATTTAGATGTATTATTAATTGATAAAAATATGAAGTAATTAAAATATTCCATGTCATACATAAACAGAAGCTAAAATATATACAGCTGCAACAATGTCCTTTCCAATACCTAGAAACATGTAAAGAAGAGATGTGATGTAAAACTGCCACTCAGGAATTTATGATGAGAGTTACCAGAAAATGAAATTACTCTTTTGAAATCCCAAGCAAATTTTTCTCTGTTTTTTTAATTCTCTTTCCCAAAATTGTCAAGATACCCATTGAAACTGAGTCAATTAGTCTCTAATACTTTTTCTTATAAACATTTTGTACATTTGTAAGTTAACGGAGATCTGTAGAAAAATCTTATTTGCCAATTTAAGTTATGCTAGCTAGCTGCTGTGAAAAAACGATATAGCAAAGCAGGTGGTTTTAAAATGTTGATTTCTGATTCAGTAACAGTTAAGTTCATAATAGCCTTTAACGCACTCTTGCAAATAATTTTATTCTTTTTTTTTACCTAGATTATATTGAAATATTAGCTAAAAAGGATTAGTGCCCAAATCCTTACCAGGGTCTAATGCTGATGTTGCTGTGTGGTTTCTCAGTCAATATGTAATAAAAAATAGCCTGGATTTTACAGCGGTGTAGTTTTTCTCTGTGGTCTCTTTAGTAGACTACGAACTGAGAAAAAACTACATTTGTAAATTAGCTTTGTGTTACAACACTTTGATAATGCAGAACTTCTCGCAGAGATTTCCTCTGCCTCTTTGGCAGTTATGACTCATTCTTTATGACAATTGTAATTCCAGTTTGAAAATACTAAGACTGTTTAAAAGAAAGAAAATTCGAGGAGGTCAACACCCATGCATTTATATGCTGATTTTTGGCATGCATTTTGTTTTCCTAATAGAAGTTAGGCTTTTATTTCTTTTGTTGTGCATATACCTTTGCTCATATTTTCCAATTTCATATTGCTAGCTTCTACTCTTCACATTCTGTTAGGACTCTTAATTTAGAATGGGCCTTGAGCAACGTACATGTGTGTGCCTCTGCGCTCCTGTGGCAAGTCAGATGTGCTGGTTTTTTGATACAGAGACTTAAGCAATCTCTGCTCCATGGTGCGATACCACGTGGTATGGTGTCTGGAGCCAGAGAGCACACAACATGAGATCCATAATCAGTGCAATTTCTTATTCCCTGCACAGTGAGCCATGCCATCTAATTTGCTGAGCATTTACTGATCATCTGCATAGCATATGCACAGTAAGTGGGATGCATCTAGTGGAGGACTGTTTTAATAGTAAGCACTTTTTCAGATAAGGAGCCTGTAAACTTGGGTTTATGAGCCAGAGCTTTACCTGGAGAGAATATAGTGGATAAAGTCTCCCTACTGATTCTGACTCCAGTGAGGCTACTGAATAGAGAAACACAGTGTTTGACTGCCAGTTTTTCTTGTATCTCCACTGCCCAAGAGCAGATTTCAGGTGCTGCATTAGCACATAGCTAGTGAGAACTCCATGCCAAAAAGGCATGCTTTATGATACAATACAGTGGAATATATCTCCCTGTAATTGCAGTATCATGCAATGAATTTTAAATCCTGCATTGAAGGAGCAGAAATTATTTGGATCATTTGC